TAGCTTTGGAGCCTATCCTGACACTCGCTCTGGAGACCAGACTGGCCTCAACCCCACAGAGATCCCCCTGCCTCTGCCTCCTGAGTGCTGGGATTAAAGGCGTGCGCCACCAACGCCCAGCCTTGGTTTTCATTTTAAGACAATTTCTGTGTTACCCAGGCAGACCTTGAACTAGAAATCTTGCCTCAGCTTCCTAAGTAGCTAGTATTACAGCTACTGGGTCACTAAACCCATTAAAACAAAGTTTTATTATGATAACAAATGCATAAACTCTATCCTCTTAACTATATCAAAGCTTACAGTGCAGTCAGTTAAGTATATTCTCATTGTTATGCAGCCTGATTATGTCGATCTACTCAGTAGATCGACAGATGCTACAGCTGATTTCCTGCACTTCCTGGAAGTATATCCCCCACTGCACCCCACTTTCCCCTTTTTGTCAAGACAGGGTTTCTCTATGTAGCCCTGGCTGTTCTGGAACTCATAGACCAAGGCGGTATTGAACTCCTAGAGATCCACCTGTGCCTCTGCCTCCTGAGTGCTGGGATTAAAAGTGTGCACCACCACTGCCAGCTGTGCCACCACCACCTGGTGGAAATATATCTTTATTTGTATGCTGTGTGCCATTGATATTGACTTACAGAAATTTGTGTTTTTGCCAATTAGATTCTGAATAACATTTTAAATTTGATTTATAAACCCAATGTAGTAATCCAGAATTGTATATTTGTCCACATATTAACCTATACATTTAGCGGGGCAGTGGTGTCGCACACCTTTACTCCCAGAACTCAGGAGGCAGAGGCAAGCAGATCTCTGTGAGTTCGAGGCCAGCCTGGTCTTCAAAGAGAGTTTCAGGACAGTCTCTTAACCTACTGAGAAACCCTGTCTCAAAAAACCAAAAATAAATAAATATGAATTATATAAAAATAGGGCTGGAGAGATGTCTCAGAGGTTACGAGCACTGACTGTTCTTCCAGAAGTCTTGAGTTCAATTCCCAGCCACCACATGGTGGCTCACAACCATCCATTATGAGATCTGGTGCCCTCTTCTGGTGTGCAGATATACAAGGAAGCAGAATGTTGTATACATAATAAATAAATAAAATCTTAAAAAAAAACAATTAAAAAATTATATATAAATAGCCAGGCGGTGGTAGTACATGCATTTAATCCCAGTACTCAGGAGGCAGGCAGATCTCTGTGAGTTTGAGACCAGCCTGGTCTACAAGAACGAGTTCCAGGACAGCCTCCAAAGCCACAGAGAAACCCTGCCTTGAAAAACAAAAATAAATAAGTAAAAATAACCTATACATTTATAGACCTCCCTCCTCTTTCTTGAGGCAGGCTTTCTCTATGTAACCTTTACTGTCCTGGAGCTCTATATGTAGATCAGGCTGGCCCCAAATTCACATGGATCATCCCCCATGTGCTGGGATTGAAGGTGTGTGCTGACACCCAGGCCAACCCTTATATATCTTTATGGCTTCATATTACTATCTATTATCTTTTCAGTTTACAAGCCAGTCTTACTAACTGAGCTCCCAAGGCTTTCCTGTCCTTCAGTTGCAACTTAAAAAATTTCCCTTTAGCATAGAGATGATCTACAGGCAGTAAATCCCCTCTTTTATTAACCAGGCAAAATCTTTCTTAAACATCAACATTTTTGAAAAAGTTAATTATTTGTGTGCACATTCATTGTTCAATAATGAAAAATATATGAGCAAAATTTGACTGTATGCAGAAAATAGAAAAATACTTTCTGTTTTTTTTTTTTGTTTTTTTTTTTTTTTTTTTTTTTTTTTTTTTTTTTTGAGACAGGGTTTCTCCCGTTTTTCCTGGAACTAGTTTTTTAGACCAAACTCAAACTGACTTCAAACTAAGAGATCTCCTTGTGCTCTTCCACCACCTGGCTATAGAACACTTTCTTAATACAATAATCTTAAACTATTAAAAGTGTCGTAAATGGCCGGGCAGTGGTGGTGCATGCCTTTAATCCCAGCACTAGGGAGGCAGAGGCAGGCGGATCTCTGTGAGTTCGAGACCAGCCTGGTCTACAAGAGCTAGTTTCAGGACAGCCTCCAAAGCCACAGAAAAACCCTGTCTCAAAAAACCAAAAAAAAAAAGTGTGTCATAAATGGGGTGGGGTGAGCAGAAGAGGCAAAGCAAAAGAGAAGAAGCAGTGTAGCAGCTTCTTTCTGTACCCTCAGAACTTGGGACACTGCCAGTTATGTGGGGGGGGGGCAGTTCAACTCTTGTGGACTCCTGTCTTTCCTATGGTTTATGCTACTGTTGAGTCTGTATTACACAAGTGTCCATGTCCATCAAAGCTGACTTTACTTTAGTATTTCTCTTCTTTGTGTACCACAGGCCTCAGGTGGCTATATTTAACTTCATATTCTGTCAGCTAGAAAGGTTCTCTCCCTGCCTCACAAAATCTCCCCAGATCATACTCTGTGGTGTGACTGAATGTCCTAAGTGGGTTCCATCTCTTCCTGTGTTTGTAGTGTGAGAAGTAAGCATAGCACTGAGTTATGTTAGGCAGAAGATCTGCCTTTGTACTTTCCAGACCTCCTGAGTATTGATCACTATGCTGGATGCAGCTTAGATATCCAGAGTTTCCTTGGTACTTCAGGGTTTTCAAACTACAACAGTGAGCAGCAGACAGTTGGCTATAGAGATTAATTCAACCTATTGACCCCCAGGGTTACTTTTGGTTAATGAGGTCTTCTCATGATTATTGAGGGCAGCGTCACTTTCCTGTGCATTTGTACAAATAGCACCTTTATCCAATGAGCCATCTCATTGCATACTCACCTACACACACACACACACACACACACACACACACACACACACACGTATATTTGGGCAGGGGTTGAGACAGGGTTTCTGTGTGTAGCTTTGGAGCCTGTCCGGCAACTCATTCTGTAGACCAGGCTGGTCTTGAACTCACAGAGATCCACCTGCCTCTGCCTCCCAAGTTCTGGGATTAAAGGTGTGTGCCACTGATGCCTGGCTATATTACTATTTTTAACATTTATGTATGTGTGTGTGTGCGTGTGCATGTGCATGTGTGTGTGCACGCACGCGTGCACACAGATGTCATAGTATACATGTGGAGGTCAGAGGACAACTTGCAGGAGTGGGCCTCTCTTCTTTGCATCATGTGGGTTGCAGGGATCAAACTCAGGTTGTCAAATTTGGTAGCCAGCTAGGGCTATACAGTGAGACAAAATTTTTGGAGAACAGGAAGCTTCCTGAGGTGCCATGTTCATGCCCAGGTGATTGATAGGCCCACTTGGATTAACTCTTTGTCTGTCTATCCATCCATCCATCTATTTATCTGCCATCTATTTGTTTGAAGACAGAGTCTCTCTACATACACCTGACTGTCCTGGAACTCACTAGGTAGATAAGGCTAGCCCCAAACTCAGAGATTCCCCATGCCTCTGCCTTTGAAGTACTGGTATTAAAGATACCTGGTCAGGATTAATTCTTAAGGGAAAGGATGATTGTGTATCTTTTTCTTTACCAGAAATCTTCCATCTAGATAGTAGTTTTTTGAACTTTTCGGCAGTGTAGATGTCATGCCTACCCAAGAACAGAAAGACTCCACTGTAAGCAGGTAAAGTCCTGCAATTGTAGTTCCTGGTTTTCATGCTACTGATTATGAAAAAGATGCTGCTTGTGGTGGTTTAAATGAGAATGTCCCCCTTAGGCTCCTATGTTTGAATGTTTGGTTCCTAGTTTGTGGACTATCTAGGGAGGGTTAGGAGCAAGCATTCCCACAATTTGGGCATATAGAAGGAAAATGGATAAAAGACTTTCACTATCTCTCATACGCTAATAACAATGTATGAACACATAAGGAAGTCTGAGATATGACATGATTTAACTGCGCATACCACTATTGTCAATCAGTTTTGAGTGCTATTAGTAAGAAATGAGTGAGTAAATACTGAAAAATGGCTAATCTCTGTTACCCATGGGTTTTTATTTAAATATAAGATACATGATTCAAAACATTCTGAAGTGACTTTAGAGGATGACCATTTGAATGAAATATGTTCCCTCTGTACTATAATTGGGAGAGATGAGATTAATGTGTCTTTGGAATTACAGAAGGGCAGAAAAATCAATAAAGTCATCTTAAAACTCCTTATGGTCCCTAATGAAATAAAAATGAAAGTGGTTTAAGGACTTACTATTTCTTAATTTATGAAAAGTGAGGAAAGAAGCTGTTAAAAGAAACTGAGTGTTCCTACTTAACTGTGGGCTTCCTATCAACTGTGTGCTTTGTGAGTTGTGTAATACACTTTCACATTGTAAGAGCTCGTTAGGAATGCTTGCTTTATTCATGTCTTTTGTCCACATTCTAGTCATCTTTGCTTTTGGATATCCTGTTCTTTTACTTGGCATAAACTATTTTTCTTGTACAGTATTGAATAGCAGGATGTGAATAGATGAAACCATTTTTCGAAAACAGGAGTTTTTCTGTTATTGTAGAGGAACTTTTTTCTAGATTATTAATGGAGTTCTTCTTTTTCTTCTCTCTCTCCTTCCCTCCCTCCCTTCCCCCTCTCTCTGTCTCTCTCTGTCTGTCTGTCTCTGTCTCTCTCTCCACCAGGCTATCAGTAGTGCTCTTGACAGATGTGAGTTTGGGGTACATATGCTTTTTTAAAAAAAAAAAACAGCATTATTTCTTACTCACATTTAAAAGTGATCATTTGACTTTCTTTTTTTTTTGGTTTTTGTTTTGTTTTTGGTTTGGTTTGGTTTTTTGAGACAGGGTTTCTCTGTGACTTTGGAGGCTGTCCTGGAACTAGCTCTTGTAGACCAGGCTGGCCTCGAACTCACAGAGATCCGCCTGCCTCTGCCTCCCTAGTGCTGGGATTAAAGGCGTGCGCCACCAACGCCTGGCGATCATTTGACTTTCTAGAATTTTCTTTAAATATAACTAACAGGTCAACTGAAAGAAAATTAGTCTGATTACTTTTTCTTTCTTAATTTGTGTTGGCAGGCAGTGTCAGCCTACTGTGTCACCTCACAGTGAAACAGCCCCAATTCCAGTTCCTACTCAAGTAAGGAATTACCAGCGCATAGAGCAGAATCTTACATCCACTGCCAGCTCTGGCACAAACCCACACGGTTCTCCAAGGTAAGCCAGTGTCTTTGTTCTTTTCATTTGTTTAATAGGTTTTGTTGTTATTATTGATACTGAAAGATATGTGTGTTTAACATCACACAAATGTATTTGCCTATGAATATAATTACTGAGGAAGAACTTGGGCTGGGGATGTAGCTCAGTTACAGAATGCTTACCCACCATGTACAATTCAATCGTCCATTCAATCCCAAACACTGTATAAACTAGGCAAAATGGCACATTCCTATAATCCTAGCCTTTGGGAGGTGAGAGCAGGAAGATCAAAAATTCAAAGCTATCCTTAACTGTAGTGAACTCAAGGCCATACCAAGCTACATAAGCTCTCCTCTTAAAACACAAAACTAACAACAACAAAAAACAGCCAATTTTGGTGGCACACAACTTTTATTGTCCAAAAAAGAAAGAGGCAAATGGATCTCTTGAGTTCAAGGCCACCTGGGTTGCATAGCAAGTTCCAGGCCAGCCAGTGCTACACAGCGAGATCCTATCTCAAAATAAAACCAGAAAAAAAAAAAGAAAGAACTTGTTTAATAGTATTTCTGGTGTGGTGACTCATGACTGTAATCCCATCACTTGGGAGACGAAAGCAGGAAGAGTGACAAATTGAGGCAATTCTGAGCTACATAGCGAATCTCTGTCTCTAAAGAGAAAACAAGAAGGGAAAAGGTTTTCAATTTCAGTTCATTTTTTTTTATGTGCTGTGTACTTGTTCTACATCTGAGACCATCCCCTCAAGGTGATAGTAAAGACCAACTCCATGAACACAAATAAAATAATAAGATGTTCTGTGGTGAAAGATGTCACTAAATTGCTAGAAAACAAAGATAATGGGAGAATTCCTACTTCCCAGAGCAGAAGTGTGTATGTAATCAGGACTCTGACAGAATGGGAATCACTGTGCCCTATAGACCCAAATCTCAGAGAATTCAGGTAGCATGGAAAGAGGGAATAACACTGCAGTTCTGGCAACTTGTTTTTAGTGTATCTGTACATAGTCAGATACATATTCTCCCTAAACAGTCTCTGTATATGACATAGCTTATTGTCATGACACCAAAAGGTGAGAAATAAGCCATGTCCACCAGTGTTTCCATACTGATCTGTGATAGTCCATCTATTACAATAGAAGGTTATGCATCTTCTATTCCAAATGAGTAAGGAAGCTAAGTCTGACACAAAAAAGTTTTCAAGGTATAATATAAAATGAAAAGAGTGTGGTTTTTAGCCATGCAGTGGTGGCTTACACCTTTAATCCCACCACTTAGGAGGCAGAGGCAGGCGGATCTCTGTGAGTTCCAGGACAGCCAGGGCTGTAACACCTAGAAACCCTGTCTTCAAAACCAAAAGCAAGAAGTATGGTTTTTGGATCTCTTCATAGATCCCATAGGTCAAAACTGCTTGATAATAAGACTAGGATATGGTTTGCTTTTCTCATTGTGTTGATGTATGCATTAATAGTGAAGAAAGCAAAAATGAATAAAACTGCTTGTATCTTAACAAGAATCAAGGTAATGACCTATAAGTGTACTGTTAGTCTTTGTGATTTTTACAAGCACATATGAGGAATGTCCTCAACAAAGCAACAAAAGCTAGTCTTTGAAAATCACAACCCTGGGGTAGATAGGCTATCCAGTATGTTAGTGAAGCACGTTTGTAGTATTAATAGTTGCCTTAGGAACAGCAGTGCATGATTGGATTGCCAGCTAAACTAGCCCCCCCTTTTCACTGAGCACTCTTTATTTTAAAGAATGACAAACTATGGTATGGGAGTAGAGCAGCCATTTTGTCAGAAATGAACTAAGTTTTTCTACTTGGAAGAAAACAATGAGGATAAATACCAATAATGAGTTTTCAAACAAAACCAGACCTCTGGAAAACATACCACTGTAATGCTGACAGGTATTGTTAGTTTTTGCTCTGATATTTCTGTATGATTGATTGTGACTTTTTTATATTTTATGTGTGTGAATGTTTTGCCTGCATGTATGTCTGTGCACCACTTATGTGCCTCGGTGCCTTTGGAGGTCAGAAGAGAGTGAAGGTGTTGGATCCCCTAGAACTGGAGTTACAGTTGGTTGTGAGCTAACATATAGGTGTTGGTACTTGAATTCCTGGCCCCTGCAAGAGCAAAAATAGTTCTTAACCACTAGCTATCTTTCCAGCTTCATAGCAGTGACATTTTGGTATGAATGTGACCCTTTGATATTGTGTAATGTGTCAGTTGTTGGATTATCTACATAATTCAGTGGAATAATCTTGTCCAAATTGTGTTTGAAATGATGCATAAATTAAAGATTTATTCTAAGTGCCAATACTTTTCATAAAAATGAACTTTAATGTTAAGAATACAATATTTGTGGATAGTTTCACATTGTAGCTAACTCTTGAAATAACTACTTACTTAGTATCAAAGAAGAGTGAGTATCACAGTTATCTGAAAAGGCTACCAAACTATTTTTGCTTTTCTAGGACATACCTGTGTAAATTTGTATTATCATATACTTCACCCAAAATAACATAGTAACTTGATTACAGAAGCAATTATAAAAATTTAAATGTCTTCTATTAAGCAGGGTATTAGAGATTTTTCAGAAGTGTAAAATACCATACTTCCCTCTAATTTACTTTCTTGGAAAATATATTTACCCTTTGTAATCTTAGGTTAAATGTAATATGTTCATTATTTTTTAATTTAAAAGCTTTGTTTATATGTAATTAATAACAAGATATAGAAGTTAATAAAAGCAGTCTGGAAGCTAAGTAGTTTTTCAGAGGATAAAAGATACTGGATCTGAACCCAGATTGACAGTGATTAGTATGTCATGTGTTACTCAGCGGTTAGAAGCTGATAGTTATGTTATGCTTTCAGGGCATTAGTGAGCTCTGAACGGATACACCAGAAACTAAGAATAGTGGTGACCTTCGTAATAAGAGCAGAGAAGCATGAAGAATTGGATAGAAGAAGAAAAGAGAAGAAACATTATCATTTTACTACTACTTTTTTTCCCCTGAGACAAGACCTTGTTGTGTAGTCCTGGAACTCACTATGTAGACCAGGCTGTCATGGGACTCATTCCACCTGCCTCAGCCTCCTAAGTTTTAGAAGTAAAGCACATGCCACCATACCTGACTCATTTTACATTTTTCATTTTTGTTCCTTGTAACCATTATGTGTTGTATATTTAAAATCTACTCTACATGGAATGCTGTCGGGGATTATCAGAAAAGTGTCAGAAATAATGTTGTGTCCTGGGTCCTATCAGATAGGAAATAACTCTCTTTCTTTTCAGATCTGCAGTGGTACGGAGGTCTAACACCAGCCCCCTGGGCTTCCTCCGGGTCGGGTCCTGCTCTCCTGTACCAGCAGACACAGTGCAGACAGGAGGGCGAAGACTCTCCACTGGCTCTTCCAGGCCTTACTCACCATCCCCTTTAGGTGAGGAGAATTGAATGCAGTCATTTTTTAACCTGATTTTCCTTGTAACAAATCTGATAAGAGCACATTCTCAGGGAACACTGGATGGTGATAACCCTGCTTTTCAGCTGATTATAGGACAGACAATCCTTAGTATTGTATCCTCCCGACTTCACCTTAAAAATCTCTGTATTGGCCGGACATGGTAGCACACACCTTTAATCCCAGCACTTGGAAGGCAGAGGCAGGTGGGTCTCTGTGAGTTTGAAGCCAGCCTAATCTATAGAGTGCATTCCAGGACAGTCAAGGCTGCACAGTGTCTTGAAAAACCAAAAATAACCCTGGCGGT